AGTAGGTCACCCCGCCCACTTCGCGCGCGGCGCACCCCTCTGAGGTCTGGAGATGACGTTAAAGTACCACCAAGTATCAGTGGAGCGAATGATTTGCATTTGGTCGTGTTTTCTTCTTTATTGGCTGAATGCTGTGGACCAAACACAAATCGCAAATCAAAAATCGCAAAAATCAAAATCAAAAATCAAATCATACTTTTCTTCTAACTCGCTGTATTATCTCAATTTCGACCTGGTGCGGTTATCTGCTACAACAAAATGTACAGTAGAATCAATAGAATGACTCACTTCTGAAATCGATTCATCACCCCACAAAAACTTCTCATTGCATTTATGTTGTCCACGGCAACAGCAGAGTTTCCCTTTTTTCTCCACTTCGTCTTCCTGTAAAATCACATTCCATTTTCATTCGTCATCAACAAGTAATTGCCATATCTTTCTGTCTACGCCATTTTTTGTTGTATTGGGAAACTAATCAGGTAATTTTTTGAAGAATGGGTCAGGATGCGCGACTGCAAGCAATTTAGGTCGCTGCGGAAGCCGCGATCTTGCCTGATCGTATAAAAATCTTCTCTGTCAACTGTTGAAGAGGTCTGGTCGTAACTATGTCATAGCACCTTTACTGACCTGAAAATCAAATTCCCATCGTCGTAGCTATAAGCTGGTTGGGACGCCAATTACGGCAAGTTGTCTATTCTTCCTATTCCCAGGCAGATCAAGTCATCTTATTGTTAGTATAAGAAGAACACCCATTCAATTGTGTCTACATATAATTCTAATCGTGAGCCTAGTAGCGCTTACGAAATGCGGATTGATCCGGACCCAACGTTTCAACCCTACGTTGTGGCTACACTCGCAAATAGTGGGTGTTGTCGTGAGGAAATGAGTAAGACCAACGAAACAAGGGAGAGGAAGGGCTTCTTTGATGCCTCATCTTGCTCTTGATAGAGAATTGTGCAACACCTCACTTTCATGTTTGATTGTTTCATGCATATCTGGAGGGCTAAATGCATCAATAAATAACTGAATGCATATGTTTGCTCAGCTTGTGCAAAGGGCGGACGTGAGAGTTGATCATTTCACGAGTTTTAGAGAGATACGTCTTACAGACAGAGGAGAAGAAGAGGTATCTGATAAGAAGCTCACGCGTCGTTTTGAAACATCTTAAGTCGAACTCACACCACTGACATCAGAATTGTTGTGGCCTCTGAGTTCGTATTTGGCCGATACAATTAAATGACCAGATGAGTCAATTAAGTAGTCAGCGCTTTCGTGCTCCCAGACGAGTCACTACTAACTAACCTACCCTGGGGCGGTAAAAAACTTACCAATCCGGACTTCCTGTACTATGAATGTGTTAATGAGCCACTCGGCTTCATTGACCAAGCGATTAAATCCAGCCCTGACCAGGCGTGTGGTTTCGGAGCCACATAAGGATGGGAATTAAGCACCTGGGTTACTGAGGGATGTGGGAGAGACTGCGAGTTAATGGGTTATGGGGTCCTGTACCTGGACAGTGCGAGGTCCACCACCCGAAATGATGCGAAATGACAATGACGAAGAAGGGTCCCACCCAAACATACCTCGTAGAAGAAATCAAGACACATAGATTGAGTGCCATTCGAATATTCCACGTCCCACGTGATATCAGAACAAGAGGGTAAACCAACAAAACGTTCCGTTTCCATCCATTTTGTGTTATTGTTGAACTTCTGGAATAGGATCAATCTTGTATTTCGTATTCTTTACTTTTTCAAAATCCACCTTATCTTGATCCTTGGAAATGTGGTGCATCATAGTCTTTCGAGATCGGCAACCACGATGTGCTGTTGTCAAACCTCCATCGACATCCTAGAAACTACTGTAGGCGATTTTCTAAAGCAACCTTGAAGTGGGCGTGGCTACCCACCGCTGTAAGAAAGGCAAAACACCACGGATCGTCGCATGCTCGAAACAGTTTCAGATCTTCACCCGGTTCTTCAATAGTGTTCACGCATTGCTTTAAACTCGATATTAAGTGGACGGGGCTAGCTAGGTGAAGAATGCTGCTCGGGAAATATTGAACAAACCTGTCCAACAGAGTATTTTGGAGCCACAGCTATAAATCCTAGGTTGCAGCCATCCTAAACAGTTTTTGATCAGTTGAAATAAAACAATGATAATTAAAGATGTAAACAAGAAGTTTCTCAGAATGGTCCATGCGTTACTGCGTTAAGTAAAGTAGATTAATAAAATAATATACTAGGTCAGAGAATTGCGGATCCGATCTCGATTTTTTGACTTTTGTTGTTTTTTATATGCCACTTTTTGGGTTCAATCAATCGCTTATATTTTCGCATATGTCAACAAAAGTCTTGCTCTTTACCTACATTTTCGCATCAGTTTGGGAGGTCTATCGGTAAAAGGTAAAAAGGCGTTCTCTCTTGAACTTACCGCCTCATTGCAACAGCATACAGTATTGTTTTCTCGTATGAAACATCCACTGCTTCTCTTTTTCTTGAGTTGCTCCTGACTGGCACAAAACCCGTCGTCGTCGCAATCGAATTTACCGTTGGTTTTGTTATGAAAACACCAACCCCATATCTCATGACCACGGCACCAGACCTGAAAGAGTTTCTCTCAGACGAGTTGATCATTACAATTCCAGAGGAGACCTCACTGCTTGGCACGACTTACCCCTCTCTGAGATGCTCCACTTACTCAGTATCCCTTCAGGTGGTGAAATATTATATTTTGCCCAGGGCATATTTACGGCTTTCCCAGCTTTTTAAGAGATCAATTTTTCAAAGACACAATTCATGACCGAGTTGGTACTGCAGATCCTGTCTCCCAGAAATCTTGCTCTTTCAGATGCAAACAGTGGCGCAGTCATTGCAGAAAACGGTATGGAAGTATAAGTGCTAACGATAAGTGCCCAGCCCTTTAATGAACGTCTATGACAAGACGGTGTCTTAAACGCTGGGCCTTTTGCGACTTCCACACTGGTTATCATCGAGACGCCCCTATATCGTCTCCTTGAGAGCCAAAACTGCTCTTAAGCACAAATAATCAGTAGAACTAGGCTGATCCTACATTATTTTTCGAAGAGAGGATTTGAGTTGTGATGTCAGCAAGAAACGACATCACCCGGGAAACACTGGAAGGCAACCACATAGCACACCATTCGCTCAACGTCCATATAAAGCAGAATGAGTATTAGTTTGCCCCCAAGTTCTTGACTACGCACGTGGATTAGCTCAAACTTCAGCTGGGCTTACCATCTTACCATCTGCTAAATAGAAGTGTTATCAGCAATCCACGAGGAAAAACTGCAAAATTAGTTGGAGCTGGATTTGATCAGGACGAGTACTTAAGCGACAGGCACAACCCATCTTACCACTCAGCCACCGTTTTCACCCATACCTGTTCAAATTGCTTTCGATTCAATGGGGTTTTCTAATGAAGGAGCTTTTATTCTGAATGCATGCCATCGTAACCTCTATACTGGTACTGGACTTACCTTCTGGTCGTCTGCACAGTATCGTCCAAATGCAGCTGTGAAGCAGATGACAAGTAAATACATAAAAATCATATTGACCTGTAACTGTAACTATCACTGTATTTATGATAATTCCACTTTCTGTTAAAAAGTGGAAACGAGAAAGGATCGCAAGAAAAATTTTGGGATGTCAATTAAGGAAAAGATATAAAGAATGTCCTCCACACACCCTTCTTCTGTCCAAAATCGTAGTTCCCTTTGAATGTCACCCAAAATTACATCGCGTCACATCTAACAAGGGCTTGGTGGTGCATAGTGATTTTCGGCTTGCGTTGTTGAAATTCTTCTGCCTCGCAAGGTTTTTAGGTAGACATCTTTATTGGATTAATTGCCTAACGCTTCCACGCAGTAGTCATCTTCAGGGGCCACCATTCACCATTGAAGCAGATAGAATCTGCTTCAACGATCAGGATTTCAACAACGCAAACGATAATGCCGAGGTCAAAACAAGTGAGAAATTGNTCGTCATCTTCAGGGGCCAGGCTTCACCGTTGAAGCGGATAGAATCTGCTTCAACGATCAGGATTTCAACAACGCAAACGATAATGCCGAGGTCAAAACAAGTGAGAAATTGGAAACTGTTGATGATTTTATTCTCTCTGATAATAATAAAGCCAAGGGCTGGTTTGCGTTTATAGAAGGCTCGATTAGTTAGAGCGAGATTTGACTAGAATTTTATCCATAGAATCCATATGTTCAACAATAGAATCACTTGATTCACCTCACCAACTTCAAGTGGTGGTGTTGGTGTCTGAAGTATCAAACTAACAAATCTAAAAAAAATCACGAATGCTTGCAGGAGTCTTATACACGATGCTGAGTTCAAGGCTCCGCAGTCTGCTTTTTCCTGCTCTCCTACGGTACCCATGCACACATCGGTCTCATCCTTCGAAAGGTTCAAAAGTTCGAAGCTTTACATGAGAATCTAAAAATGCCCTCGGTTCCTTAGAGAGAGCAATATGATAAGACTCATGGGCGTCTCAGATGAAGCTTCGCTTACAATGGAAAAGTTTATTCGGCCGAAGTTTATGTATTGCCTCTTCCGTCAGAACCTGCAGTCTGAAGATACTTAAGATTCGTCCAGTAAAACAGCATTTCAGACTTTAGCTTTTTTCAAACAAAGGATAGGCTACAGATTTCAAGACAAACCCTCATAGTTTGGGTGTTTTTATTCGTTTAATAGCACCAACACTCCATGGTGAAAGCTTCAAATCATTCCTGCTCATGCAAAAGAAATAAAGTGCATGGCTTAGACCTTCGTTCAATAGCTAGGGGTTAAACGAGACGACTGAAAGATAAATTTTGTTCGGAAATAGATTAGTAAGGAGAAAGTCGAGTGACTCTCTGGGAGAGAAGAGGAGGTCATTCCATTAGAAGTGAGCTGAGCAGACATAAAGCCGTCTTGGGGGTGGGTAGCATTAGTGTTGCATTGAAAACGCATCTATGCATTCACAATTCGAGAAAGTGTCTTATTGTTTCTTTCATTTACATAATATGTCCAACAGGAGGAGACGAACACGCAAGTATCAGAAAAACACATGGCGCACGAAAGGGCCCCAAGGCGAATAGGCCCCTGAAAAGTCTCGAAATCGTATCGATCCAGTTTTTCTTGATCAAATTGGTCGCTCTGTCGAGGGTTAACCTAAAGTGTTCATTCAATCGTTTATTTGTTCCCAACTGAGGACAACCGTAGTATTTAGTACGGCTGTCCAATTAGGTAATGGATTCGTTCTTCACATATCAAATCCGTCCATTCGACGGCTAATAAGGACGTGGTTCATCTGAAAGATAAAGTTCAGTACATCACCAACCTAGCAAAACTATTGGCAGGTGTTTGTTTTGTGAACTATGACTGAATCTTTGTAAATTCATTGTTTATGATGAGCATCCTATGGAGATAGGCTCTGTCATGCATTTAATCCTCGGTGTTCTCCTACGACTGAACCGACAGATAATTCTTGTCTCTGGTCGTAAGCAGCTTATCCCAGGTTCCGAGATAAAAGCCATCTGCAAGCGAAGCTCGGGTGTTCGTTTCCGGGGTGATCAAACATATCTAATGCCCACTGAACACAGTAGCTCAACTCCATTCTCGTTCTCTGTCACTATCTGCTTTTCACTCTCTTATCAATTCCCTTCCATACAGATGAACATTCCTGTTGAGATAACTCAGGCAAATCCAGAAAATCGTAAAGTTCCTTGCAGTAGTCTACAGACTACTATTTTTTTGTTTCCTTCCGTTATCTCCGCTCATGAAGCTTTGAGCCTTCAGTTATCTCCGCTCACCAAGCTGACTCAACGTGAACATAGCGTAATAGAGAAGTGGGCGAGAAGATTCGCGAAAGTTCTTGGGGAATCTCACCATGTAGTAGTTCTTCGAGAACTCTAAGCAGATAGAATGTCTGTGACTTCAGCTCTTTGCCTTCACAGTCCTTGATAATCGGCTGTGCTGTATCGACTTGGGGTTATCCATAGGCAAGATATGCAAGGTATCCAACGAAGATTCATTTGAGGCTCTTCTCTATCATAACTAGTGAGACCTAATTCCAGGTTACCGACATTGGGCAGAGGGTGTAATGGCAAGTGGCGCACTATCATACAATCATGGTCGCGGGTTCGAATCCCGAATGGGTATCCGCTCAAGCCAACCGAGCCTTCAATGACCCCGCGGTCGGTTGATTGGTGCCAGACGCTTTTGGTAGGACGAAAGCGTTGACTTGTACATGGGCTGGCCACCGCCGGCCACATGCGCATTCAATACGCCAGTAGGATTCTGAATGGAAGTCAAATGCGGAGGAGAAGAGGTTCCTCAGGCAGGATTGATCAACGCCCAAAACCTTTATCCCTTATCCATTTCGGTAAGAATGGTTGTATAGTGTTGTCTTTGATTTCCTATTCAATGAAGGGCACGACCTGTGTTCGGTGGCACTGGGAGGGCATGTTATTCTGGGAGAGGCATGTTATGATCACCAAGCAAGCTCTACATAGCCCAGCTATACTGCATGAAACAGGCTATAAGTTTGAAAGGACCCAATCGACGAGGCCAAACTAAACACCTTCACGACAATGCCGAGCCCAACCCTGCAAATGCTGTCTAAGCCGTACCCAAAAGCTCGGAGCTGGAAGGTCCTTCAATATCCACTGCATTCTCCGGACCTTGCACCGCTTACCATCTTTTCCGTTCGCTGTCGACCCATATGAGGGCGTTACTTTTGACAGTGAAGAGGACTTTGCAAACAGGTTCAATAACTACCAGGTCAGGCACTTTTTGACGTCGAACAGCATCGAAAAACGGCATGGCAACAATTAATCATTAATCTTGGCATTATATCTTGATGATTTGGGTGTTTTTTCGATGTTTTGTGTCGGGCAAACCGGTTTAGAACCGTTTTACGTGGGTCCTTCCAATTATATTTTGATATCTTAGGAAAACTGCGCAGGCGCAAGAATCTTTCAAAAAAAAAAACCTTTCAACAAACCATTACCAAGGTCAACCCTATTATGTTCACGAGTACCACCCCTAAAGAACAAATACCATACTTTCTTCAACTGTCGTCCATTGATCATTCAGTTTGCTCGAGTGGTCTCCATCCGTTCTCGTAGCAAGCCGAAGAAGTCCAGTGGACCGTTTTGTTCCTTGAACGCGAGGTATACCGATCTTTTTGTTTAATGCATTTTTGAAGAAACCTGGCAAATGGACTCACTGAGACAATCCTCATGTTTCAAATATGATAAGTCAACTCAAAGATAGAGTCTTTGGGTGTTGTTCAATCCCTCCCATGGGATGCGCCCTGCGTTCGACTTCCATTCAGAATCGTAGTGGTGGAATGAATGCGTATGTGGCCTATAGAATGACTTGCAGCTGTACAAGTCAGTGCTTTTATCTTCCTAGACGAGTCCGGTACCAACTAAGCGACCCCGGTGGGGTGGAAGTCCTGATTAGCCTAGGCCGATATCGATGCGGGATTCGAACTCTGTACCATGCGTGTGTGAAATGAGCCCCGCGCACTACACCATCTCCTCCCTCTCATAATATAATAGACCCTAATTATTTCATATCATACCATATAATTTTGCAGGGTTAATCTTGTATCGAACCACGTATGAATAACAGTACTATAGCGTCATAAGTATAATTTAATTAGAGCAATTCGTCAAAGATTCCTTCGCTTCCCCGCCTGCCCATTCCCTCCTATCCAATTAATCACATGCCCAGCGTTACTTACAAACCCGTGGGAAAATGTAATGTAATAATTTGATTTATTGTTATGATCAATCATTTGGGATGACAACATTACCAAAGAAACAAATTTGAGATTTATAGAGCTCAATACAGATGTTATGAGAATAGGATGAAAAAGTCGTGCTTGTCAGGCTTAAAATAGCCTTTGTTGTAGTAGCTTTTAGATGAAATGAAGCTTTTTTAGTACGGGTCTTGACGTACCATCGGGGCCACGCCGTTGAAATTGGGTCACATCTCAACGAAAACCTTGTCTAGTGACAAGGATCTTCTACATTTCGAAGCCGGCCCCAGAGAAGCGGCGGATCTGAGGAGTGGGTGGATATAGTGTAGAGCGGTGTCATTCTTTCTGAGGAATTTTTTTTTGTGTGTCGTAATGTTTATGAATGTTTACGTTTCGTGAATGTTTATTAAATCCTGTACAACTGTAAACATGCAACATTTATATAGCTATTACTCATCAGTAAATGTAATTTTATCATAGGCACAATAAGGTTAGTTGCGAAAGTAATAATAAAATAATTGATTGAAGAACAGTCATTGAGGTTGATCGGAAGCCGTTTGAATCGGAATGTTCCGGGAAGTGACAGCCGACTTGTGCTTTGGCACTTCAATGGCCAACTGCCCATCTTCACTGATAGTGGATCGGATCTGTTCGACGTCAACATTTTCTGGAAGAGTCCATTGACGTAGAAATGACCTGAAAGGTAGATTTTTGGGTCCATCCGGGAGTGAGAGATCGGAAAATTCGAGAAATTCCAACTACTAGCCCTACCTGGCAGTATAAGTCGAGCCTTCCTTAACTTCTTGTTTTCCTTCAACAGTAACGGTTTGACCATCGATGTTTACTTTCAACTCATCTGGTTTGAATTTCGAGACATTCAATGAAATCGCCAGCTTTGTGTCATCCTCGGTAACCTAAAAAGGATCCGTCAATGGGATGGTGTACGGCAAATCGGGGCTCCTGGACGTAAAGTGGGGACTTCTGGAAGCAATATGTCCTGGACTGATCACTAACCTTTCCTAGCTGGTCCATCGGAAGCTTCTTTCCACCCCTTCTTCCCGAGTGAGAGCAAGGACATCGATGAATTCGACTGAGGGTGCCGTCGAGCTGGTTGCAGACGTCGTCCACAGGTGGCAGAAACGTCGCTCTCAGGGAGCATGGTGGATGAAGGCAGAGGATTGGCATTGTAGAGTTCAAAACGAGTTCGAAGCTAAAGCAGCTGATGCCAGCAATCCCAGTGCTGCTTATATACGATCCACAGAAGTTCTTCCAGAATCTTCTAGAACCTTCTAGCCCCGCCCCTTCCCTTACCTTACCATTAGTAGCCATCATGGTGGATGAGTCATCCCCGTAGGGGGCGGGGTCGACTTGCAAGTGACGCAGAGGACTTATCGCTTCTAGAAGCCTCTAGAAAGATGCCGCGTCGGCTATATAAGCACCCCGCTCGATCCCATTTCCCATTTGTTCGTCATGCATTTGTGATGGTCCTGCTGAGTTTCATATACAGATTATTGATCTTTTACTATAAGCTTAAGACCTAAAGTTTGTACTAGTTGTATTCTTAAGCGCAATGTTGCTTGTTGTGTTTTGCGCATTTGTTTTGTTTTCATGTGTTGTTGCCAAAGTTCTTGTTTTGTTGTTTGTGCAGGCATGTTTGTGTGTTTACCGTCGTAATTATTGTTCGATTCAGTAGTATTTCCCAAGAAGTTGATGTGTTGGAAGGGGAAGAATTGGGGAGTGAGCTCAGTGTTATAGTGATAAGTGGTTTTCGCTCCTGTAGAGATTTGGCAGTAAGTTTCAGAGTTCAAAGTTAGGTTGGCAGTAATGTGTGCCTACAGCGGTCCCACGGGATTATGTAATGTGTCTGAGCCCCTCTCATACTGTTGGCATATTTGCAGGAATTCCTTGCTTCTTACAGTTTGCTATTGTGCTGAAAGCGGGCTGGTCAGCTTACTCGTCAAGCTTCCCATTCTACAGTATGCAAACATTGTTTTCATTTGACTCCCGATTTCCAATTCCACCTAAGCGACCAATCAAAGTGGATGCTTTCATTGTCTTCTCAAGTTAGCATTACTTACTGTGACCTTTGATCTGGTATTCGAGAGTTGTTCCAGCGGAGTTGCTTCATTGGTAACATCTGGCCAATTGGCGTTTTAGAATTGGATGATAGAAAAGGCTATAATTGAATAGTGCGTTTTAGACACTCTTGTGCTGGGTCGTGCGATCTAGGTGACTCACGAATTTGCTGTCCTCCTTTCGTATTGAACAAGATCTTCCGCATTACGTTGTCTTTCGCATCTCATCTACCCGATCAATAAGGTTATTCCAGTGTTCTTCGATAATCGATCGATACATCAATAATGGACTTGTGGCCGGTGCCTCGTCTAATGAATCGTATGATGTACGACACCATGAGAGATATGGAGCGTTTCGAAAGAAGCATTTTCCCATATTGGAGAGAAGCTGATCATTCGGTACTTCATGTTGCAAACGAGACTCAGAAGGTACATATGTTTTAAAATCGAACGGGAGCTCATAAACTGGATGGCATCGTTAACAAGCAGGATGGCATAGTTAACAGTCATTTTCTTCACAGTTGAATGTTTATGAGTGACATTTCAAACAAATATCCCATAGTAACCGCTGAGCAAAGTCGATATTGATTCCAGCTTGTTGATGACGACAAAAAATTCGCTGTCGCCTTGGATGTTTCACAATTTCGCCCGGAAGAGCTAAATGTACATCTGGAAGGACGTGAGCTGACTATCGAGGGCAAACAGGAGCACAAAACAGAGAATAGCGCCATGCATAGGTAATTGCTTACTTTATGAGCACACGTATTTTGAATACTTCCTAATTGCCTCGGAACTTCAGATCATTCACGCGTAAATGGATTTTGCCGGAGAATGTGAACCTGGAGGCGATTCGTACTCAACTGGACGACAAGGGTCATTTGAGCGTGGAAGCGCCGAAAAACGTCGAAGGCCAGCCACAAAAGAGAAACATTCCGATCATGGCAGCACCTAAGCCTTAAATCGGCATGAATCCGAGATTTTCAGAAATATCTTCTCTTCAACTGTTGTTATAGTAGTGGCCGTTTTTCTGCTGTAGACAATTATGAAAGGCAGTAATAGAAGTTATAGCTATTTTGCGTTCGTTTTGCAATAATCCGGTTTCTATGGCTTGTTATTGTTGTTTTTTTACTACTTCTTTTCATTGAATTATCCAGTTTGCTGGTTTTCACAATGCAAATCAGCAGTATTCTTCTTGTGCACAGTATTCATCATTGAATAAATGAAGCTTAACTCTACTATGTGTGCAAGATATGATTAGAGGCAGTGGTACGGTGGTGTAAGCCATAGATACTACTTTTATTCAAGATCTCAAGTTGTTTAGTTGCGTTTTGTTCTATTTATTCAACATATCGCTAATGGATAGTGATCAAACCAATGCTTTTATTCATTAGGAAACTAAAAGTCCAACTAAACAACTATGCAACGCTCTTTGGGTGGGAGGGATTGTTCCTGTCGAGTAATGCCAACTGCAAACACTACGCATAAGCGTTAATGAGCCGTCTGGGATTGTAAAGTTTTTTTCAAAAGTTTGCAAAACAGAGCTGACATTGTAACGCCGTTTCTTCCCGTGCATAACAATAGCTTCGATCGCTCGGAACGGCAATAATGGCGTATGGGAAGAGCAATGAACGATCGCCCTCTCGCCGGCAGTTTCCCATCACCTACATGCACGTGATGCTGGAAATCTTTATATTTGAGGGAACATCGAATGGTGTTGGCTTATTCGAGGACCTGCGAACAGAGAGGCTCCGTTTACAGCCGTGCAAATGAGGCAGAAGAAAAACGGAGGGGGTCCAATCAGTTTTCATCGCTATTACCTGCTTGAGGTAATCGAAGCTGTTGTCGGAGGAATAGGCGAACTGGCATCCGCAAAAAGGATTGGATTGGTACAGATTATTTCAGTAAAATGGCCCCACGAACCTTTCCCTCCCACGCTCTCCATAGAAAACACGAAAATCGAATTATCTAGAAAGATATAAGATCTTGAAAAATTAGTAAAATTAGGGGTTGTACGAGAATGTGACTACGAAAGATGCATGGGAGGGGTATTTGGACGAGCTGTTCAAGTGTACTCGTCATTGCATACAGATGGCTGCAGTAAGTTGCCTGCGTGGTGTGGATCTCGGTGCGAATAGTGCAACCTTTACAGCCTTATAGCGTCGTGAGAACTCGTCCGCCTTGAGTGGGTACGTCGGTTAGACCGGTCCAGGCCCTTATTAGGTACTTTCTAGAGAGGAGTCCAGAAACCATTTATAACGTGAATTCTGCCGTCAAGGGCGTTTTCTATCGCCGAACGACGCGAGAATTCCATCTTCTTACTAGTTGCCCCAATCGATACGCATCAGTACCTTTGGCGTGTGATGATCTGGTTTCAGTGGGCAACCACAGTGCCTATATTCGTCGACCTTGAGCTTAGGTTTTTAATCGCAAAGCTGCAACCACCTGCCTCAAGGTTCAGATGGCACATTCGGTGTCTACTGGTCAAGTTCCATCGTCGTTACTGCGACGTACCTTCTCGCGTGAACGGTGATCGACGTCTAGCTGTTTAGGTTTTGTCTAGCCATCTCACCGATTGGACTCTCTTAATGTACCTCTTGGTATTTGCTTTTTATTGATCAGTTGCTGTGGTGATGACTATCAATAAACCAGTAGCATCTGTTTATGGACAGCTTTGAATTTCACAGGAAACCTATAGTTTACCATACGCCAGTGCCACCCAGTGCAGCAGTATTTGGAAAAGCCAAAAAAGTAACAAGTTGAAAGCCCTTAGGAGGGGGTTCAATCATGCCATGACGCAAAATCGTAATATCGATTGCCGCGTCGCGCGGAACGGTGCGTCACGATGCTTGCTGCGGGCGTGGCCAGCGAGCAACGTACGTCGCCAATGCGAATGTCAAGTCTGGGGGTAACGGAACTTCTCCCCGATGCGGCATTCTCCCTTGCGGCATGCGACAAATGTCACTGCAATTACCGTGCTTACCCCGCCCCCACCAATCGATATGACGCAATATTTTTCGTTGGTTGCCTTNGAAGGGAGCGGCCAGCCAATCAAATAATTAAAGGACTCCCTACCTCACAAATTGCGCACTCCAATCTTCCATCGCAATCCTGCGGTACGCGGTGGGTGCGGCGTGCGCGACGCCGTCTTCGGGGAGATGTTCCCGGACCCTCAAGTCTGGATCCAATCACTTTCTAGGTGTCCTTTGTCTATCTCGTTCAAACGTGATCTGGAATATGGATCATGGCGATAGCTCCTGGAACAGTTATCTACAGCCAAAAACTAAGAGTAAAAGAGTTCAGCGACACCTGAAAGGTAAGCCCCTAAGGGTGTTATTATTTTTTGTATTAATCTATCAAACGTAAGTAGAATGGTGACAGCTCTACACCTCCAGGTGCAATCTTGCCGAAACCGTGGTTACCCCATTCTGCTTTCGTTAATCCAAATATGCAGCAATGAGGCGAAGTCTGATCCACGTTTGACGAGCTGCCCTGCTTGCGTTGTCTGCTCTCCTCCTTCCCACTAGTACACGCAATGGCTGCCCCGGTCAAGAAAACGACCACCTGGTGTGTTTGCCAAAACAGGACCTAATGTCACATATCCAGCTCGCTTACTTTAGCTGCAAGCTAGCCGAAGAAAGTCCAAATTTTCATAGATACACAGCTAAATATGCAGAGCCTGTTTACCATGATATAGCACAGTTCTATCCATCAGTAAAACTTTATTGATATCTGATAGCGCGTTGTTTCGATAAGCCGAGGCAGCCAACATGAAAGGAGGCTCAGTTCTATCTCTTATCCGACGTTGGGTGGTTGCGGAGTGAGTTCGGCGGCACCAGTATCTGAATTCAGTACTGCGACCAACCCGAAAGATGTCTCTCAGCTGTGTGAGTTCTTCGTACCCCCTCTTTTAGAAGTCAGAATGCTCTAGAGGCATATTGTGGTCCTTAAGTTCTTTGCCCTTTGAAGAAGAAAGCGAGTTTTTCCAATTATAGGTGCTGTTCCTGATGGTATCAGTGCTTGCTACTGCTGGAAAGAGGATCAAATGCGCAAAAGGCAATCTTAGAAAACCTTTCATGATGGAAGTAGTAAAATTAGGGGTAAGGAATATCACTGAATTAGACACTGCAACTCGTCTCTCAGATGCGTTCATACCTCCGCCCAACCCTGGAGACAGTGCAGTAGATACAAATTGATCAAAAAGCGTCCATCGCTGAAGGAGCACGGAAGGAGATGATCAATGGGCATCTTTCAATCGATATCATGGCCTTCCGAACCCTTGGAATTGGGGTGGCGCTACTTGTACCCGAATTCCAACGGCAAGCGGCACTGGTTCCGCTGCGCTCACCGTAACCTCCCACCGGAAATCCAAATCTTCCAACTTGTGCCACGCTACTGCGCGCGAGTCGCATACTATATACCACACCAAGCATTTCGCTCCACCAATTCCCCATTTGAAACTCGGGGAGGGAGGAGTGAGGCAATCGATGTATATCTAATCTTTATTGAGGATTCTGTGATTGTGCACTACAGAGACTACGAATGATACGAAGACTTAGACTGCTTTCACGTTTCACGATGCCTTGGAATGACTTTAGGTACACGCGCGCGCAAAAATCATTTGTTATTCCTAAGCGTGCGGCGTATAAAGCAAGCCAAAAGCAAAATGATGGTCAAAGAAAACTAATTCACGAGATGCTTTCAAACGTCATAGTGTTGGCAATTGGATCTGTAAGATAGAAAATCATCCACTCGAATCGAATTCGGGCCAGGAAGTGCCAACATAATATTGGGTTGTAACATAAGTTCGTAGAGTTTTTTCACAGAGATTTATTTTAACAAAAAACAATAATTATAATAATAAATTAATCAATGATGTATCTTCCT